AGGGCAGGTCTGTTAACAGTACACACAGTTTTTACCTAAGAATGTCTTTTATGTCACCCTCATTCTTTAAAGATTGTTTGGCTAAGAATAGAAATATAAGTGGAAAATTATTTTCTCCAACATTACTGTCTGCTGCTTTCTTTAATTGCTGTTGGGAAGTTTTGTCAGTTTAATTTCCTTGCTGTGGAGTGATGTGTCTGATCTCTACCTGTTTTTCAGATTTTCTCTTTTTCTTTGATATGTTGCTGATTTACTATTCTGTGTCTACGTGTGGCTTCTTTTTATTTCTCTGATTTGGATTACATTTTATTTTTGTCTGTGGACTCTCCTCTTTTATCAGTTCTAAAAAACAGTCTTGCCTGTTTCTTTCAAGTCTTGCATGCCTGCATTCTCCTTCTCTCCTACTTTTCTGGGACTGGTTGGACTTTGTAGACCTTGTCTTTTCATCTTTCCTACCTCTTGTTCATCTTCCTATCTCTGGGTATGGTGTTCTGCATCATTTTTTAAACTTTCTCTTTTAAGTTTATTCTTTAGCTTCGTAAAGATTCTGATTGTTTGGGATCTCGATTAGGAGTGAGTATTTGCTTATTCTTACTCTGGGAACCACAGGAAAGACCAGTGAGCGTCATTGAGAATGCTTCCTCCACAGAGCATGTGCATTCGCTACTCCTGGGAACCACAGGGTCGGACCAGGCGGGCCAGTTTCATTTCAGCCAACCCAGGAGTCTCAGGTTCAGCTCCACCCTCCCAACCCCAGCTAATAGTCACATTTCCCCAAAAGCAGCCCTTTGAGTAGTCTTACCACTCTTTGTTCTATTTTCAGGGTTCACTTTCTCTTACAAATACACATATATACTCATATACATTCATACTCTAGTTCATTAATTACTACAACTCCAACAATGCAGCAAAAACAAACATTTTAAAGATCTAGTTGTTTCACTGTAAGAGGACCTTTCAGAGGGTATGGTCTGCTGTATAGCCCCCCCCCAAAAATCTACAGGGAATATTTTTTAAATTTCTTTTTAAAGCCTTCCCCACCCCCCTTTTCTTCTGGTAATCACCATACTGTTGTATGTGTCTATGAGTTGTTTTGTTTTTTATTACTTAATCCCTTCACCTTTTTCACCCAGCCCCGCAACCCCCCACTCCTCTGACAGCTGACAGTCTGTTCTCTGTATCTATGAGTCTGTTCCTATTTTATTAGTTTATTTTGTTCATTAGATTCCACATATGAGTGAAATCATATGGTACTTGTCTTTCTTGGCTAGCTTATTCCACTTAGCATAATACTTTCCAGGTCCATCCATGCTATTGCAAAGGGTAAGATTTCCTTCTTTTTTATGGCTGAGTAGATCCCATGTACAGGGAATTTTTTTTTCTTTATTGTTCAGATTATTACAGATGTTCCTCTTTTTTCCCCCCTTAGCTCCCCTCCATCCGGTTCCCACCCCACTCCAGGCCTTCTCCCCCACCCCCCCACTGACTTAGGAGTGAGTATTTGCTTATTCTTACTCTGGGAACCACAGGAAAGACCAGTGAGCGTCATTGAGAATGCTTCCTCCACAGAGCATGTGCATTCGCTACTCCTGGGAACCACAGGGTCGGACCAGGCGGGCCAGTTTCATTTCAGCCAACCCAGGAGTCTCAGGTTCAGCTCCACCCTCCCAACCCCAGCTAATAGTCACATTTCCCCAAAAGCAGCCCTTTGAGTAGTCTTACCACTCTTTGTTCTATTTTCAGGGTTCACTTTCTCTTACAAATACACATATATACTCATATACATTCATACTCTAGTTCATTAATTACTACAACTCCAACAATGCAGCAAAAACAAACATTTTAAAGATCTAGTTGTTTCACTGTAAGAGGACCTTTCAGAGGGTATGGTCTGCTGTATAGCCCCCCCCCAAAAATCTACAGGGAATATTTTTTAAATTTCTTTTTAAAGCCTTCCCCACCCCCCTTTTCTTCTGGTAATCACCATACTGTTGTATGTGTCTATGAGTTGTTTTGTTTTTTATTACTTAATCCCTTCACCTTTTTCACCCAGCCCCGCAACCCCCCACTCCTCTGACAGCTGACAGTCTGTTCTCTGTATCTATGAGTCTGTTCCTATTTTATTAGTTTATTTTGTTCATTAGATTCCACATATGAGTGAAATCATATGGTACTTGTCTTTCTTGGCTAGCTTATTCCACTTAGCATAATACTTTCCAGGTCCATCCATGCTATTGCAAAGGGTAAGATTTCCTTCTTTTTTATGGCTGAGTAGATCCCATGTACAGGGAATTTTTTTTTTCTTTATTGTTCAGATTATTACAGATGTTCCTCTTTTTTCCCCCCTTAGCTCCCCTCCATCCGGTTCCCACCCCACTCCAGGCCTTCTCCCCCACCCCCCCACTGACCTCGTCTTCTCATACTGCAGAGGAATCGATGGTAAGACATCCATTGAGGAAACTATTCTGTACTAAAGGAGGTAGTTTCATGAGACAAGTAGCATTCATAAGAAAAGGTACTTGGCTGTTACCGAATATGGCAAAGTATCTTTCTAATTAAGAGCTTCTGCACTCTTCATTTCTCTTCTTGACATGTCCTGTCCCCCAAAGTGCCTGGTTAAATACTTTATTTAATTTGGATCTCTGTTCAAATTCACCTTCTCAAAGAAAACTTTTTTATGATTAAAATATATCATTTCATTCAATAACCCCATCTTGCCTGTTTTCCCTCATAGCTCTCCTACCATCACCTAGATATTCACACACTTTCTGAATCACACTCACATTTAAACATATGCCTGCTGTTCTGTCTCCCCACCTGGGAATGAAAGCTGGATGAGCTCAACAGCGCTCTCTGCTTCACTCTCCCTAATGCCTAGCACAGTGGTTGGCAAACTCATTAGTCAACAGAGCCAAATATCAACAGTACAACGATTGAAATTTCTTTTGAGAGCCAAATTTTTTAAACTTAAACTATATAGGTAGGTGCATTGTTATTAACTTAATTAGGTTACTCTTAAAGCTTAGGAAGAGCCAGACTCAAGGGGCCAAAAAGCCGCATGTGGCTCAAGAGCCGCAGTTTGCCGACCATAGGCCTAGCAGGAGCTACAGAGACATCTGCAGATTCCTCCTCTTTGTATGGGGTTTGGAAATGCCCAGACAAGGTCCAGCTGTGAAGCAAGGCAGGCTGCTGCTGTCAGCCTTGGGTCTTCTTTTGGAAGCTCTGGGGCTCTCTGACCCAGCTGCAGTTTAACAGGTTTTAGGTGGAGGGAGCACGGGCCATTCATATGCAAAAGCCAATGCACAGCTTGGGTGGGGTTGTAAACTGGGTGGGGCGGGGTCTCTGGGAATCACCAGGGCGGAGCAAACAGCAATGGCTGCTAGTCAGCCCTGGGCCTGAGAGGTCCCTGGGTCTCAGCGGCCCACACCCCCATGCAGGAACAATGATCGCTGTGAGCACCTCTGAGAGAAAGCTGTCCTCGCATTCCTGTCCCAATGCCAGACAGTCCAGTTTCTCCTCGTATGTGTCTGGGTCCCCCCGAGTCTCGCCTGTAACTGGAGTTCAGAGCAAGCGGAAGCTTGTATCTCCCTCCCGGTTAAAAGAGCAGCACATGCAGGTGCCAGCACTTTCCACACTCTGCACCTCTTACCAGTCTCAATGCGCTTTCTTCACCTCTCTAGTTGTGGAACTTCCACTCAGCTAGCTTTCCCACAGTTCTGGGTGGTAGTTGTTCTGCCTTTTAGTTGTTATTTTGATGTGGTTGTGAGAGGCAGCAAGTATAGGTGTTCACCTGTGCCGCCATCGTGGTTCTCTCTGTACAGGGAATTTTTAACTGGCCATCTTCACATGATCTTGCTAGTACCTCTCTCCATCCACTTCCCCCCCTCCTCCCCCCTTTCAACTTTCCTTTTTCTTCTTCCCAAATCTCCTCCCACCTCTTAGTTTTTAGGTTCCTCTCTACAGCCGTCTCTGGAGTCTTTTCACTTTTGCACAGAGAATTTCTACCTCCAGATTTAAACCAATCAGCAGAACAAAGGCAGGCTCTAGAACAGGACCTTCCCTCCTTAGAAGGCAGTTATAGCTGTAAGTAGCAGTTTCCCCCATTTCATTACTTCCATTCACTGAGTATATATTGGGCGTCTGCCAGGTCTGAGTGCTAAGATCTTGTTCAATGTGAATTCTCATTATTAGCGTTGGCTTGTCTTCAAGGTGCATCTTGTAGCAGGAGTGCTGTATTAAAAGCTCTAGGTGAGCAATATTTGATATGCTCAGGAGGATTAGAATCTGTATCTCAGTGTATTTAAAGAATTATGGAAAAGATTAGGCTACGTAATTAAATGTGTTTATTTATTTTAAAGGTGGTTTTTAACTATTATTTCCTTTTGTAATAGTGAATCATCTGCAGTATAGTTTGAAGTTAGTATTCAGCCTTTTACACCCATATTTCTTCAGTAGCAGGAATTAGAATAAAAAATGTGTGTGCATTTCTCAATGTACATAAACACAATTCAGAAAAACACCCTCTTTTGTAAATAACATCACCCTTACTCAGATGACCCTAATTAGAGGAATATCTTTCAATTGTATACCTTTAACAGAAAGCATTAACTGCAGATCTGATTTCACTCACTTGGTAAGAATTTATTGTTGCTTATTTTGACCAAGCACTGGTCCAGGCCCTGGGGGTACAGTGGGGGACAAAACAAAGCAGAGTGCCTTAAACTGGGGCTTACATCCTAGTTGGGAGACAGACACTCAGCCATGGACACAGAAAAACTGCAAAGAAGTGGTAAGTGCGGAGTAGGTGGAGGGAGGCTGGTCGGAAGGGAAGGCCTCGCTGACCCAGATGGAGTGAGGAGTGAGCCATTCAGGAACCTGGGGAAGCGTTCTTGGCAACAGAGAGCAGACAGTGGCTCTGAGCTGGACTGTGCTTGGAATATTTACAGATAAACTTTATGACACTAAACCTATCCTTCCTTGTTCACATTACTATTTTTCAGGTATCCGAGATGTTTCTAAGTGGAGTGAGAAAGCAAAAAAGCCTCTAGAAACCCTATATGGGTATGACTACTTTGCAAAAACCTGTGAAAAGTGGGTGGATGGCATAAAACAGTTTAAACATCTTCCGGATGGTAGGTTACATGAGCTATTTAATGGTTCCTTTGCTGATTATAGAGGTGGCCTGAGTTCCTCCCTGATGTTCCAGAATCCCTCAGGGATGAATGCATTCGCCCACGATCCTTACACACTGACGTAGGAACAGAGGGTACTAGTGACTGTGTACATGCAAGTTCTTAGGTATTAAATGCACTTCAGCTAGACAGAGTGTCTATAGTATAAAGGTCTTTAATAGCAGACTGTTCTTTCTTCCTCAAAATAATTATCCAGAAGCCTCCAAGAATCTTTATTTCTAACTTCAGAATGAGGAATTGGAAAACAAACAAGCTGCAGCACATACCACATTTTTTTCTCTTTGCCCATTTAGATGAGTTACCCCAGGACAAGGAAGGAGGGACTTTCAGTCGTGACCGGCAGCCTCTGCAGAATTAGCATGAGGAAGAGTGTTCAGTTCTTCTCCCATCTTCAGAACTAAGTTATATGACTTTAGCCCTAATCGATGTCTTCCTGTCTTTATCTGAAAAATTAATGATTTCCAATTACAGTAAGAATTGACATCTTTAAGTGAAATTCTGAGTTAAAGTGTTTTGTATAGATATTTACATTTGTAATTTCTCGTTTTTCTTTTTTTTAATTGCTGAAAGAATAGAGAATAGCTAAGATCTAATCTTAGGGCACATTCAGTTATAAAATCATTGTTATTGAAGGGCCAATTTGATCTCTTAAGTAATAATTTCCAGAATGAGTCATCTGTCAAAACTTTCACAATGAAAAGGACATTTGGAAATGTTACTTTCTTGGCTTAAGTTCAAAACAGCCAGTATCTCCTGTTCGAAAGCAATATCCACTCATAGAAGCAGGTCCTTGAAATCTATTTCCCCTAGCTCTGATAGCAAACAAAAAAACGCTGTACAACAATGTCTGAGACAGTTCTCCACTAAAGAAGGCGACTGTGACATGCAGACTTCTATGCTTTCTTGAAGAGAGTAGTGAAAAGGTAGAATTTCTCAAAGGTAGAAGCAGAATTAAATGAGCAGTTCAAAAATATGTCCTGTACATATTAAAATTAAAAACTGCTGCTCTGCAAAAGGTACTGTCAGAAAAATGGAAGGACAAGCCACAGACTGGGAGGAAATATGTGCAAAAGACCCATGTGCAAAAGAACTTTACCCAAAATATACAAAGAACAAAAGTGAACAATAAGAAAACAATCCAATTAAAAGCTGGGCCAAACAACAATGTGATCCCCTCTTCACCTATTGAACAGCCACCAGAGGGATGCTGGGACCGTGCAAATGCTCTGTGTGCTACCATACTGGACATGTCATTGTGCATTTGTCCACACCCATCATTTGATCAACACCACGCATGAGCCCTAAGGAAAACTGTGGACTTTGGGCGAAAATGATATGTCAGTGGAGGCTCATTCACTGTAAAAATGTACCACTCAGGGATGTTGATATGGGGGAGGCCATGTGTGAAGGCAGGGGAGTTGTGGGGAATCTCTGTCCCTTTCCCTCAGTTTTGCTGTAAACCTAAAACTCGAAACAGTAAAATCTATCTTTAAAAAAGAAAAAGGGAGTGAAAAAAATGTCATAAGATGGAGCATCTAGCAGTGTATATCAACTATGTTATGGCAAGATTGTTAATAAACTACTCATCCCCTTTCTGTACTAATTTGACAAGAGCCCTTTTTCATGGTTGTACAATCAAGTTTATGGACGCTCAGTCTAGCATAGGGATTAATTGCACAGATGTGGAGTTAGGCAGGCCTGAGTGTGAATTCTGGTTTTGCCGCTTGGCTTGCTGTTAGAATGGATGCCGGCACATCATTTTGCTTCTCTAAGCTGCAGCTTCCTGTCTGAGAACTGGAGATACTAATAACTACCTCATACAGTTGTTTTGAGGATTGAATGAGTTATATATGTTCAGCTTTGGTCCGCTCCCAAGTACAGAGGAAGTGCTTAATAAAAGTACTTGATTTACATACTAAATGAGTTAAGACGTAACTACCATGTGTTTTGTGGGTATTAAATAATTTGAACAGTTCCTAACAGACAATGAGCACTCAGTAATAGCACTTTAATTATCTGAGTATACAGTTGGCAGGTGCGTGTCATCCCAGGGGCAGGTGAGGGAAGCGTCGGTGACCTAGAGAAGTATTTCCCTGGTCCACCCTGACTGAGAGGAGGGGAGAGGCAGGTGCCCAGACAGCACCCCGGGCTGCCCCCCAGCTTCTTGGAGCCGCAGAGCTTTCTGCTTGGCACAGGCTGAGGAAGGGAAGAGGGAGGTGCTGGCTTTGTGGAGCCACTGCTGGTGCCAGAAACCTGAGCTCTGGCTTCTCTTCCTGGCCTCTTGGCCACCCAGGGAACTGGGGTTAATCCTGTTTGACCAGAGGAGAAGGCTGAAGCTCAAAGTGGCTGAGGAGCCACTGAGACTGCAGGGGGGAGGGGAGGGGGGGAGGCAGGGGCTGGAGCCCAGGCTGTGCCATTTTTGCCTCAGAAATGTTGTTAAAAGTGGGAGTGAGGAGCTTTTTTGTTTGTTTGTTTTTCTTACTGTTTTACATGGATGATGCATTTAAATCAGGCAAAACTGTTTGCTACTAGAGCTTTAAAAGAAAAGAAGAGAAAAAACAAAAACACCCAGCAGAGAAACAGAAAAGGAAACCCAAAGAATGTCAGAGCTGGAAGGCACCTCAGACCGCATCTAATTTAAACCACTGATTTTACAGACGGGACCCTGGGTCCTAAGACGGGCCTGACTTGCCCAGCTCTCGCTTCGCTTACGCTTGTGGAGTGGTCGCATTAAAGCCCACTCTCATGCGTTTGTGTTTCAGGTAATATCTGTCGGCACTTGCTGCCCCTGGTTCAGTGCCCCACCTTAATCGTGCATGGTGAGAAGGACCCCCTAGTCCCGCGTTTTCATGCTGACTTCATCCACCAGCACGTGAGAGGGTCACGGTAAGTCCAGTCTCCGCGTCAGCATCCGGTGCCTCAGGGCTGCGGAGGAACCGGCAGAGCTGCAGTAAGGAGAGACAGGAAGGCTCCCCACCCCCACGTTACCAGTGTCCATAAACAGTACCAATGTCTACGGGGCGCCCGGGAAACAGGGGCAGCAGGAGCCCTGGTGTGGGCAACCAGTAATCGCCAGGAAGGGAATCTCAGGTACAAGTCTTATTGCTATGAAGGCAACTGTGCTGAAGCATACCAAGTTCTGTACCACAGGTGATAGGTTAGGTTTAGAGCAATCATTGTGAACTAAAGCAATTTTATACAATTTGGGAATTTTCAGGCTAGTGTATCATTATCATTACCCAATAGAGAAAATCAGTAAAATCAGAAGGAAACAAATTGCCTTTTGCTTGCCACCCAATTCTTTCACATTAGCATTTTTGTGTTTCTCCTTCTCCCCCCCGCCCCCCGCATCGAAATAATCACATTCTATATTCAACTCTGATGCTGCTTTTTTTCCACTTAAAATTATGTTGTAAATTGTTCATGTTATTTCAGCCTTAAATATGTACATACCAGACATAAACCTGTTATTCAGCATTCTAAATACCAACATATGCCCAACCATGCTGGTGGTGTACTGGGTTAGACAGCAGATAGGTGTTGCTTGTCCTTTGCATTCTGGTTTCTGCCAACCGGCTTTGGGATTCAGGAGCGTTGTAAGCTATGTCAGCAAAAATTATGTTCTTCAGTTCCCTACATTTTTGTATGGAGTGAATAGAAATTTATCTTTTATTTATTTATTTATTTTTACCTGGCGACCGTTATGCTAACTGAAATAAGCCAGTCAGAGAAAGACAAGTATCATATGTGAAATTTCACTTATATATGGAATGAACAAACTGAACTACCAAGCAAAATAGAGACAGACTCATGGATAGAGAGTAGGCAGACAGCTCTGATAGAGGGTAGGAGATGAGGGGGGAGGATTGAGCAAAAAAAAAAAAAAAGAGAGAGAGAGAACTCATGGACACGGACAACAGTGTGGTGATTGTGGAAGGCAGTGGGTTGAGGAGAATAGGGTGGGTGAGGGCATAGAGGGGATAAATGGTGATGGGAAAATTAAATTTAAAAAATGTATTTGATTTGAAAAAAGGATAAATTTATATTTTAAATATTTTGGCTGGCACAGGAGCCAGCTTTTGCCAGCCAAAATCTACAGCCCACTCTGTCAAGATGAAAGTTCAAAGTGGAATAAACTCAGTATTTCCCTTACATGCAATGGATGCATATCCTGAAGGAGAAAATGAAGTGTGACTAGAAGATAGTGACCTAATTTTTTTTTTTAACCAAACATACTGGAAAATAAACATCCAATGAGCCTCCACCACTTCACAGACTATATGTCAACTTCAATGGTACTGTCATTACTCAGGGCACCTTTGGGACTCTATGGAATTTTTTGAAACTGGCTTTTATTAGCAGCCTAAGAAAATCCTTCCCTGCTCATTCGCTCTCTCCTTTTGTCCTTTCCTTCCTCCCACTTTGTTCCTTCCTCTCATTCTCCCTCTGTCCCTCTCTCCTTTCCCTCCATGAGCCAACTTCTGATGCCTGCTGTGGGCCAGCGCTGCCCTGGGAGCGCCCACAGTTCAGCAGGGGAAGTGATTCAGAAACCATTCCACTGCTTCCTAATCACACTATTTATTCCACGCTATATTTTAACAAACAAATTTCTAAGAGAACTTTTTTTGTTTGTTTGGGGGTTCTTTTGTTTTTTGTTTGTTTTGAATCATATATGATTGTTTATTCTGGCAGTATGGGAGAGCAGCAGGTCATCCTCAAAAATCTGCTCTGCAGCCCACCATAAGCCAGCTGCTTATATAGGTAGGACAAGGGTTGCATGGGGAAGTAGGAGGCTGGGGTGGGACTCCATTGTTTGGGCAACAAGGTTGTTAATCTTTCCATGATAATAGGCAGTTCTTGAATGAGAATGGTTCCAAGGTTGACTCCCAGGTCCCAGGGGCATACAACTCCCAGCCAGGTCAGAATGTCCTTTCTTTAACCAACACAAGGCAATCGTGGTTAACAGAGCATGATTAATATTTCCCATAACCATAGCTAGTCCCCAATATTCTATTTTTGTCCCTAACATTTCCCCACTGCTATTTCTATCATCTCATATCTATTAGATTAGTTTTAGATGAAAAGTCTCATCCTGCTGGACTGCATCTGCTTCTGCCTTGAAAGCAGTTCCCAGGGATGGATCTCAGAGAACTTTTAAATGTGGGGGCATGCTTCTTATTCTACAATAAATAATTACCATAAACCTGTATAATGTCTATATTTATATAGCATTTTATATTTTAAAGGGCATTTTATATACAAAATCTAATTATACTTTACAACTAACTTATGGAAAAGAAATATTGTCCCCATTTTACAAATAAGAATATCAAGGCTGAGATGCTAAGTAATCGTCTAAGGTTGCATAGCCAATTAAAGACAAATTCTAGATAGTTTTTCCCCCACAGCACAGCTGCCTCTCATAAACATTCTCTTATTTTAATATGATGGTAAGATGCCTGGATTATATACTTGCTGCTCTGGTAAATTGTTTTCTACCTTCAGAAATGACAGGTTTTTGTATGCTGATTCTCATAGTAAATGCATGTGTTCCCTTGGACAGCCAGGTTCAATAAAGGTCAGTCTGCAAGGAAGTTTAATGTAGGAATTCTATTCCAGACCCGTGTCCTAACAGGATACATCAATATGAGAGAAAAATATTCCCTTACTGATCTGGTGTTGTTTCAGCAGACTATTTTATGGAAGATCATTTTTCTTAAAGCAACATTCTTTGGAACAAATCCATTGAAGGTAAAGTGCTATTAGCGGTGATTATCTAAAGCTAGCTTGCAGTTTACACCTACTCCCTTCCTCTGCTGAAACAGCCCTTGATGTTGGACATGAATTTGCCTAGGATGGATGTGGTTTATTTTGAACCCCATAAAAGGAAGGTGGATTCCTTGAGCACCAAAGTCATACTGTGGTTCTGTACACCATGCCACTTGACAACAGGTGTAGCAACTCAGAGTGTAGCAAGCTCCAGGGAACTTGGTGTTTTATTACCTTGTCAGGTACTTAAGGACACAGTCCTTCAAAGATGTTACCAACAAATAAATATCAAATATGAAACCAATGCCTTTTTCTCTTCAGAAAGAGGTTAATGAAGGGTGGGGTTGTTCAGCAGGCCTGCGTCTTGCTCAGGCTAATGTCTCTCTCTTTGCTCTCTTTGTGGGAGAACAGTGATAGAATCTCTTGGAAGCAAAGAGGCTTTAGAGATCATTCAAGCTCACCAGTTGTAATATTTGTTTTTAGGCAGTTGAACCCTTTCTCCCAACAAATCTTATGCATAAGTCCAAGATATAAACATAAAATAGGAGCCGGTCTGACCACAATAGTGGTGGGGAGCAGACCTGCTCCTTTGGTCTCCTGTCCTGCCCCAGTCCCTGTGCATCCCTGCTTGTCCGGCCCTCCCTCCGAGACAGGAAAGCACTGACACCGCTCACCACCTGTCTAGCTAGTCAGCCTCTGCTTGGGCGTCTCCTGTTTCCAGACAGGCATCACCCATGAGGCCAGCCCCAGCTCGTTTTCAAAGTATTTGCATTGAGGAGAGGCTGGCATCAGACTCTTTGGAGTTGGGGTGATGGGCCCCAGGAGGCAGTGTGGCTCAGACCTCTCAGAAGAGGTGATGACTCCACAGCTTGTTGAACTGTGTCTGCTTATTATGTGTATTAGTCTGTCAGGGCTGCCAAAACAAATGCCAGAGACTGGGAGGCTTAGATAATAGAAGTTTATTTCCTCACAGTTCTGGAGGCTGAAAGTCTGAGATCAAAGTGTCAGTAGGGTTGGTTTCCTCTGAGGCCTCTCTCCATGGCTTGTAGACTGCCGTCTTCTCCCTATGTCCTCACATGGTCTTCCCTCTGTGCCTGTCTGTGTCCTGATCTCCTTTTCTTATAAGGACACCAGCCATATTAGTGTGAGCCCTAATGACCTCATTTTAACTTAATTACCTCTTTAAAGACGTATATCCAAATAAGGTCACACTGTGCTGGGGGCTAGGACTTCAACATACAATTTTGGGAGGATGCAGTTCAGTCCATAATAGTCTGTTTCTGAGGAGGTGCTCAGATCTCAGGAATTGGAGGCCAGCAGAGGTCAGGATCTGAAACTTGGATTTGAGACCTAGTTGCAAGTGACCAGCGGTTTGCCTGGTCCTGCTCTAGCCCTCACCCCTTCACTGCCTGGCCAAGTGTACTCATCCTTCAGTCTTCTCCTCCTCCTCTATCTCCAATTACTCATCCGCCTGAGGCCATACAGCTCCTTATTTATACCTTCATACAGCGGTGAACATGTGAATTTCATTTTCCTCCTGTTGAGCATGTCAACACCTATCCGAGGATGCAGTCTAGTACATGTTGAAAGAAAGAGAATGTGGGAGCAGCAGAGGCATATAGGGCCAAGCCTCTGTGGATGGCCAGTGGTCACCGACTGGTGACTCAGGGCCAAAAAGCATGGTATGAATTCCAACTTCATGTTCTGGGCTGAGGCCAGAGAGCCAGATCAGATGGGAAAGAATGAGGAGGAACATCCACGTGCGCAGAGTGGCGCCTGGGGACAGTGTCAGCCAAAGGGGAGCAGTGGGGAACGGAGTCCTGCCAGGAAAGCAGACTGGGTATCTGGGATCCAGAGAAACACTCATAGCGGTGTTGGTGAGGAGCAGGAATGGGGGAGGGAGGGAGGGAGTGCTGGCTAGGTCACTTAGGCAGTGTACATGGATTTCTGTGCCTGTTTCCTTATAAGTAAAATGAGGATGATAGCTATCATTCAAAATATTTTTTGAGGAATGAGTGAACATTTTACAACACACAGTGGCTGCCACTTTTGTGGGTGGGAGGCTGGTGTGGGTGCAGGTGATCAGGGGCCAATAGCTCGATAGCAGGTGAGAGGCAGGTTGTCCTCTGTCCCATGTTCAGCACCATTATTAGTCTAGGTGTGTGGGTGTGTTAGTTGGCTCACACAGTGGGGAGGCCGAGAAGTCCAAGATCTTCTGTCAGCAAGCTGGAGTGAGTTAGGAAGGTGGGGGCCCGGGAGAGAAGAGGTGTGGTTCCAGTCTGACGCTGAAGGCCTGAAGAGCAGAAGAGCTGATGTTTCAGTCTGACTCTGAAGGTGTGAACAGCCGATAGCCCAGTTCAAAGGCAGTTGGGCAGGAGCCTACTTTGGTTTTCCATTAAAACAAAAATACTCAGACTTACTGGAGACTCTGTGGGTTCATAAATAATTTAGAATTTTATCATATCAACGTGGAAAAGAATGCTACAGCACATTATTTACAGTCTTGTTCATATCTGTAGCTCTCAGAGCTTAATTTGAAAGCTGTAGAAGGTTGGACTGAGGAAAGGATGGTAGATGCGCAGCATCCTTTCTCCTTGTTACCTGGCTATAAAGAGATCCTGGAAGGACTGTATCAGGCAGACGTAAACTGACCACTGGATTTATACTATGAGGTTAGACATTTTAATTTCTCAAAAGATCTAGAATCGCATCTTTTTCTAAAAGTGCCAAATGCAACGAGGAACCTGTCCCAGCAAAGAGGAACTCCTGTGTACCGTCTCAGGGGTCCTTCAACTCCAGCTGAACCATGTGTGAGGTGGGGGGATTTCCTCCTGACTTTCCTGAGGGATGTGATCGTTGGAAACACTCTCCATGGATCATGTGATTGGATCCTTTTGTTATTTGGGTGAGAACCTGGGCCGGCAGTGGAGTTGCTGTGTTGCCTGGACAGCTCTAGCTATTGCCTGGCAGGGTGCTATTCCCAAAGACAAGCATACAGAGGCCTCAGGTTTAGGGACTTGGTGTCAGACCTAAAGGAGGCGTATTAAAGAACTTGAAATGACCCCCAGAAGGTCTCAAGGAGAAGAGCAGGTTTTTTTACAGCCTCATCTGTCTGTCTATCCATCCATAATTCAGTGCAGTTCTGAATGTAGGTGCCTCAGATCTCCCATATTCTTAATGAAGGAGACTTGTTTTTATTTCCCTGAGACCTAGAGATTACTATAGGAAGAATTCAGACAGCAATGAGGTGAAAAAGAAGAGATTCACTGCTGGTGTCTCTCCTTCCTCATTAGGGGTGCTGAGTGAATGAATCACAGAAATGGGGAAGAGCACATGATAACCAGCATGGCTATCCACAAAGGAGGACTTGCAAGTTGGGCAGATTGGGATCTTTGCTTCTGAATCCAACTCAGCACACATTAGAGGATGCAGTTTAGCTTAGACATGTCCTTCACGACCTTTCAGCATCCTTAGCAGCTGGTTCCTTCTGTCTCCTAAAAACAGAGGCCTTGAGCATCCCTACGAGCTTTTCCTTGTATGGGGCAACTGGAATCCTATCTTTGGGGTTGGTGCAGTTTGCCCTTCTTTACTGAAGAGCATTATAACTGAATTTGGAATGTTCTAGTTACTGTAAATGGTCTTAACTTTCCTAAGAGCCTCAGAAAGATGCCAACAATGTATCCTTCCTCCTTTCTAGTAAATGGCCTTAATCATCTTGGTACCCCCACCCCCATGTGGTTGAGCTGCAAGGACAGCTCTGTTTCGCAGGACCTTTTCACAAGTTCTCCCAGTGATCACTGAGTCCCGAGAGCTCTCAGACCTCAAGTGCTGACAGACCAGAGAATTAGGCAATTTGGGAACTGGTGTTTTGTCCCTGTATAGTCCTATTAATGTGGGCAGAACGTGTGCTTATATCCTAGAAGCTTTCGTTTGTTTAAAACTTTTATTTCTGTGCTTTTATAGCCAAGAAACAAAATGTAGAACTCAGAGAAGGCTTCCTTTATTAAAGAAATTGCCAGCCAGCCACATCTGACCACAACCCTATTGAAAGGAAGGAGCCATACTAGGACAGGGAGGTTTGCCACAAAAGACAGGTAGTGACAACTGCAGCACAGGGTTCCATGCAGGCTGCCACCACCCGCACAGCCCTGAGGAACACTACTCACCCTCCGTCCAGTGGCTTGTGTTTAGGGTTACTCAGTTCTCCCAAAATGGCCAGGCGATTTGGAACCTTGAAAACTCTGGAGGTGGCTGAATTGACTTGGGTTTTCCCACTACATAGATGCCCCAAGCAGCTCACCTGTCCTCATTCAGCGGCTCCTGGACACTATATTTTATCATCTTTCTAACCTCGTTAAAATCAACCGTATTGCTAGTAAATTTTTTAATTTTTTTTTTAGATAACCAAATCCTATGCCCCTCTCAGTCAGGTTCAGTTAGACCATCTGTTACGGGATATAATTCCAAATACAGCGTGTGTGCTCTGTTACTGGGAGTCAGCCTCAGGGGCAGTCATACAATCCAGAAGGCTTTCACTATAAGTCTATGCTCAGGAAAGTATGTACTGTGTACCTTACATCTTCTCCCCAATAGTAGTCAGGAAAAAATGCAGCAGGTTTTACTATAGATTTTCAGGTAATGTTGGGCCGGGTGAGAGGTTTCAAATGCTGTGCCATTAAACATAGGCTTTTTATCTTTAGGTTGCATCTGATGCCAGAAGGCAAACACAACCTCCATTTACGTTTTGCAAATGAATTCAACAAGTTAGTAGAAGACTTCTTACAATGAAAGTGTCCCCGAGAATCTGAGCTGGGCTGCCTGGGCTTCAGCTGCTGCTGCCTCTGCAACCCACCCTGTGGCACACCTCCCTGCACCTGCCCTCCAGTTTCCAGCTCCTCCTTCCACTACTTCTTAACATTAAGTTGTGAATTTCTGCCATTGTCTTAAATAAGTTCCTGTCATGATTTACTTTATTTGCGAATAAATCTTAGATGAGCATTTGTAGTGCTCCTGACTGCTATTTTAGGGCACCTTGAACTCATGCTGTACTTTTTATCTGAGAGGTACAAGGGGTCACTAGTCCTTTTAGTTGTATTATCACTTTGTGTAAAGGAAGTTCATAGAAGAAAGTCCTTGCCTAAGGTCTGGGTTGCTCTAACTCCAACACAGGGAAGAAAGTCTGCTTTATCCTCAAATCCCCATTCACTCCCTTACCTTTGCTGGATTCCTTTACTTTAATACTTTGAACCGGTGAAGATGGAAAAATATTTTTTATCTCTTTATTAAAAGAACTATCAAACTGATAAGAACAGATACTACACTTGATCTTAGCCAAAAGGCCGAGAGGGGGGAAAAAAAGGACACATATGTAATACCCTTTGTAATACTTTAAGCAATAAAAAAAAAAGAACTATTAAAACATTAAATACAAATTCTATTTTGTTAAAATTACTAAACCCAAAAACAGTCAAAAATGTAGTGAAAAAAATAAAAATAAAGAAACCACAAGATTTTGGACACATGCGTTTTAATTAGTATAGTATATACCTTAATTTTTAGAGGTGTGCCACATTAGTATATCAACAGTGCGAATTTCTGACAGAGGCAAAACTGAGCACCATAGATACAAATAGAAAGACCATGCTTCATTGAGGACAACAGAAATTCACTGACGTGGCACGGTGTCTCTGACAAGTTCTTAAGCCTCTTCCTCGACCTCCTCCTCCTCGAACTCGCCCTGCTCATCAGCCGTGGCGTCCTGGTACTGCTGGTACTCGGACACCAGGTCGTTCATGTTGCTCTCGGCCTCGGTGAACTCCATCTCGTCCATGCCCTCGCCCGTGTACCAGTGCAGGAAGGCCTTGCGCCGGAACATGGCCGTGAACTGCTCCGAGATGCGCTTGAACAGCTCCTGGATGGCCGTGCTGTTGCCGATGAAGGTGGCCGACATCTTGAGGCCCCGCGGCGGGATGTCGCACACGGCCGTCTTCACGTTGTTGGGGATCCACTCCACGAAGTAGCTGCTGTTCTTGTTCTGCACGTTGAGCATCTGCTCGTCCACCTCCTTCATGGACATGCGGCCGCGGAAGATAGCGGCCACCGTCAGGTAGCGGCCGTGGCGCGGGTCGCACGCGGCCATCATGTTCTTGGAGTCGAACATCTGCTGGGTGAGCTCGGGCACCGTCAGGGCGCGGTACTGCTGGCTGCCCCGGCTGGTCAGCGGCGCGAAGCCGGGCATGAAGAAGTGCAGGCGGGGGAAGGGCACCATGTTCACGGCCAGCTTGCGCAGGTCCGCGTTCAGCTGGCCGGGGAAGCGCAGGCAGGTGGTCACCCCGCTCATGGTGGCGGACACCAGGTGGTTGAGGTCCCCGTACGTGGGCGTGGTCAGTTTCAGGGTGCGGAAGCAGATGTCGTACAGGGCCTCGTTGTCGATGCAGTAGGTCTCATCTGTGTTCTCCACCAGCTGGTGCACGGACAGCGTGGCGTTGTAGGGCTCCACCACCGTGTCCGACACCTTGGGCGAGGGCATCACGCTGAAGGTGTTCATGATGCGGTCTGGGTACTCCTCCCGGATCTTGCTGATGAGCAGCGTGCCCATCCCCGACCCGGTGCCACCCCCCAGCGAGTGGGTCAGCTGGAAGCCCTGCAGACAGTCACAGCTTTCTGACTCCTTCCTCACCACGTCCAGGACTGAGTCTACCAGTTCGGCGCCCTCTGTGTAGTGGCCCTTTGCCCAGTTGTTCCCGGCCCCGCTCTGGCCTGCCAGAGAGAAAGGAGAGAATTAGACAACCATAAGGAATTCAGAGTTCTGCCATTTTGACTCTGCACTAGATGCCTTTCCTTATCTACAAAAATTTCTCTATATCAGTGACCTTGAAAAACACTGGAGGTCATAATAAAATGAGTTTAGTTCAAACGAGGTTATTAGTTGAAGAAAACTATTTCTTAAGGACAGAGAATTTAAGAATGACAACATTATATAAAACTTAAATTAAGGCTCAGTTGGTTGGAACTTTGTCCCTTATACCCTGTCAGGGCACACTCCTAGGTTTTGGGTTCAATCCCTTGTTGGAGGCGCATATGGGATGCAATGGATTGGTGTTTCTCTCTCACATCGATGTTTCTCTCTCAAATCAATAAAAACATTATCCTCAGATGAGGATTTAAAAAACAACAACAATAAACTTAGCCAGACTAAGGTGGTTCAGTGGTTGAGCATCAATCTATGAGCCAGAAAGTCATGGTTCAATTCCGGGTCAGGGCACATGCCCAGGTTTAGGGCTCGATCCCCAGTGTGGGGCATGCAAGAGGCAGCCAATCAATGATTCTCATCATTTATGTTTCTCTCTCTCTCTCTCTCGCTCGCTCGCTCTCTTCCTCCCTGAAATCAATAAAAATATATTTAAAATCAAAATACTTAAAGCCCCAGGTATCTAACAGTGGACAATCAATTGTAGGGTGGGATGTGGCCCCCAGGGTGACTTTTCCTCTAGCATAACTGTGGTCTTGAGGTTTGGACACCCTGACTTTTCCTCCTTGAAGATAACATGTGGGCCTCAGTTGTATTTAAGCTCCAGGACCAGATAAGCAACCAATGCAGTCACAGCTGACCTCAGGACCAGCTGCATTGAATAATGACCCCCTGCCCTGGTGCCCACCAGTCAGTGGAAACCACAACCCTGAAAGGACACACCTGGAAAGCTGCTGAATATTCTATTGAGATTTACCCCTGGGACTTCTCCTAAAATCCCCACCCTTAAAACCCTTAGGATGGAGGACCCAGTGTGCAGTCCCTCAAGGGAGCGCCCCTTGCACTGTCTTTCTCTTTCCTTCCCTCTCTCGCCTCCAGGCACTTTACCATTAGCTTCCTCACTTCCAAGCTCTAAGGGCCCTTCCTTTACCTGAATAACTTGTTTCCTAAGCCAATTCCTTTTGGGAATTACTTTTAATACCTCTATAATTTACCTAATAAATGTTCTCTTATCCCCCCACCCCCCAAATAAAAATAAAAACAACAACAACACTTAAGTTAGGCCCCATTACCAGGCAAGAGCAAAGGCACAATGAGATCAGAGGAGAACACGGGCTCTAAGCAGGTGTTCACTCCTGTGACTTTGCTTCTTGGAGTGGCCACCTACTGTGACGGGCCCTCTGAACTTACCAGTAGCCTAGTAACTCCCACTGGAAGCTTGTTCATCGCCTTCATTCCTTACCCTTCACAGGCTGCTCTGTGGTTCAGGGACTACCTACCACAGCCCCTGTAGGCTGACAGTGCTCTTAGAGCCATCTGGATAGTCACGGCCCGTGGACTGGGTGGAATGAGACCACGACTCAGGGCTCTGTGGACACACAGCGTCCACCTTGGCACTCAACACGAAAAACTTTGATTTCCACAGTGTTTAGGAAGAAGAAGATTAACTGAGCCAGTTCCCATTGATCACGACAACATACCAAACACGAAGTTGTCCGGCCTGAAGATCTGGCCGAATGGTCCAGACCTGACGGAGTCCATCGTGCCCGGCTCCAGGTCCACCAGGATGGCCCGAGGTACGTACTTGTTACCTGCGGGGAGGAAGAGCTGGACTTAGATCTGCGGTGGCAAAGGAATCAGACAAGCTGGTGCTCTCTGCGCCTTTCACAGCAGAGTTCACTAGAGCTCATTCCAGCGTGTGACACAAAAGGACAAGAATAGGGGAGCATTGCTGCTTCATAAAGGAGCCAATGAGCAAGCTTGGCCATGGCAAACATGCAGGGTCTTAAGGAACTGCAGTGTGTTCTTTAGCAGCTGACATTTTAAATGAATGCAAGAGCATTTCTCTGTCATTGGTATGTTCCTAGTACATTGCATCTGCCCCTGTATGGAAAGCAAGGTTGGAAGAAAAGCAAAAAACATTCAGATAATCACCAGCAGCTTCATTGTAGTACACATTGATTCTCTCCAGCTGCAGCTCGCTGTCTCCATGGTAACTGCCAGTGGGGTCGATCCCATGCTCATCACTGATGACCTCCCAAAACTGGAAATTTAAATTAAAAAAAATCACATGATGGCCTGGCTTCCTAAACATCAATAAGGACGGTCCTTTTCTTCTCTGGTGCCCTTGGGGCAGCGGCCATGGTGGTCAGATGGTCAAGCAGTCCCAGACAGACCAGGTAGCTGAGCACCCCTGTCCCTCCAGCAGAGGCTCCTGAGGGGCTTGGAAACCGGCAGAGCATGGACCATGTGATGGGGATAGACTGAAGAGCTGGGAGGGGCCTGAGGAAGAGGGTGGGCACAGCAGGTCTCCTGGAGGAGCTTTGGGTGCTGGGGAGGCTGGCACCCCCAGGCAGGGCTGAGGTCCCAGCGTCCAGGCTGATGTATGGGTCTTGGCAAGACCCAGACCCAATTGGATCCCACCCTGTGGCTGCGTTGGGAATCAATGTCTCCTGGCACAAGCCCCACCCAGCCCTCCAAGTGTGCAGTTTTATACCCCTGGCATCCATACTGGCCTCTGGCCACTGAGCTCATGGGGACTGGGTGGAGAGGGAAAGGGAGGAGTCTGGAGACAGGGCTGGGGCAGTGAGAGGAGGTGATCCCTGGTGAGAGCGCAGATTCCATTGTGAACTGGCAGCAGGAAGGGCGGTACCGCGGGTCGGGTCGGGGAGCGGATGGCTGGCTGGGTCGGAGGCCCTTGGTGGTGGGTCTGGGCTCCCTCCGCGGACCAGGCAGACCCGTGGGTGCGATCGACCAGAGAAGACCAGCCGGCGCGCAGGGCCCTGGCACCGGGAGGCTGGGTGGGAACATGGCGGTTCCGACAGAGACCTGTCCTCCCTCAGATGCCGCCCACACCCCCGCACCACGCTGCTGCAGCCTCGCCCACTGGGGTAAGGCAGCCCCAGTTCCGTCACCTGCCGCCTGGGAGCCAGGAAGCCAGACTGGCATATATTACCATGCAGAAGGTGCTCGGATTGGGGAAATGACCTAACATTCCGTCTCTGTATCCCAACAAGTAGTCTGCATAACATCTGTCACCTCAATGACACTGCAATTTTTTCATTCAAACTATAGACAAAAATATCCCAATTAAATTCCACATGAGGCCTCTGGATTGATACGGCCGCGGCCTCTATCCAAATTTTAGAGACTAATACACCCAGAGAAATGCCAACTACACGCAGCTGAAGGTCGGTTCCGAGGAAATTTCAAAGGGCCTCGGTTAAAGGCACTTGAAGCTGCGTCACGGCTGATCGCAGCAGGTGATGCGGCTTCCGGAGCCCGGAAAATGCGCCCCTGGCCCGGCGGGTACTCCGGAGACCCGCTGCCACCCCGGCCCGCACCCTC